TCCTTCCTTCCTTCCTTTCTTCTTTTTCTTTCTTTTATTCATTCTTACATTCATTCATTCATTCATTCATTCATCTGCCATAAAGAGTTTACTAAGTGTCTATGTAATAACTGGCTGCTTTAACTTTGTCTAACTTCCATCCCAACTGAAAAGACATGATCAATTCTTTAGCGGCCCAATCTACTATACAGTTGGGGTCTTTCACCCCATTACCTTCTCAGTCAGAGAATTTCTTGTAGGAAATTGTTCAGTCATTCAGTCACGTCTGACTCTTCATGACCCTGTGAACCATGTCACACCAATAATGTCCATGGGGTTTCCTTGGCAAAGATACTGGAGTGGTTTGCCATTTCCTTCTCCAGTGGATTAAGGCAAAGAGAGGTTAAGTGACTTGTCCAGGGTCACACAGTAAGTATCTGAGGCCGGATTTGAACTCAGGTGTTCCTGACTCCAGGCCCAGCACTCTATCCACTGAGCCACCTAGCTGCCTCCAGTCAGAGAATTAGAAGACACTTTATAAATACGGTGATTACTTGAAATTGAGTACAATCACTGATGAAAAACAAATACTTCCATGATGCAGAGAATATTAATAAATGAAATGCAAGATAAGAATGAGAGACACAAATAACATCAGAGACAGCTAGGTAGCACAGTAGTTAGAATACTGGGCCTGGTGTCGGGCCTTCAAACCCAGTCATAAATACTTAATAGCTGTGTGACCTTGAGCAAGTCACTTACCCATTATCTACCTGGTTTCCTCTACTGTAAAATGGGGATAATTAATCTCACCTACCTCCCAGTGTTGTTGTGAAGAGCAAAAGAGGTAATATTTATAAAGTGCTATCATAGTAACTAGCACATAGTTAGCATTTAATAAATGCTTGTTCCCCTTCCATTATTATGTGGAAACTAATTAAATTAACATTGTAATCCCAGTAAACTAAAAATAAAATGTAACAGAAAGGCACAAGTGTATTTATAATTGATAAAAAAGACTATGGATTTTTAAAAAGAAGTCAATAGTTCTGGTCACTATAGTTGAACTACAATACTACTACTACTACTACTACTACTACTACTACTAATAATAATAATAATAATAACAATAATAATTGCAGTTATAATACCTGACATCTGTACAGTACCTTTAGGTTTATAAGGAAATTTATGTAATTATCTCATTTGACATCTTTTAGGTAGAAACTACAGGGATTATTATCTTTCTTTTAAAAATAAGAAAACTGAGTTCCATAATCATACTTTTCCACAGTCATGCAGCTAGTAAGCACCTGAGGAAGGATTTTAACTCCAGGTTATCCTGCCTCTACATCCAGCAATCTTTCCACTACACATATTACCTCTTATTTTATGTTTGTAAACATTTGGAATTTTATTTTAAAAATCGCAACCGTTAACATTGTAATAGTTCTCCTCCTGAGTCCCCGTACACTTATATTTGAGCATGCTCACAATGGTTTCTCATTGGTTTAGTCTTTGTTAAACAAACATCTTAAAAGAAGGAAAAGAAACTCAGGGCACTACAATATAATTTGTTTTAATGTTGTTCCATCAATAGTGAAAAATCCTAAAGTACAGAAGGGAATAATCACAATGTTTTGGTCAACATTATAAATATGGAATTCTAAATTTAAAATATTATTCCAGTTTAAAAAATAAATCTAGTAGCAAAGAAATGAAAAAAATTAATAAAGCACTTATTATATGCCAAGCACTAGAGATACGATTCTAAAAGTGAAACAGGCCCTACCCTCAAGAGCTTACATTTTCATGGTGGGAGATGGCATATAGAGGTATAAATATTTCTATACACGTAGGTCCTTTCCCCTTTTTTATGATCTCTTTGGGATACAGACCTAGTAGTGGTTTTGCTGGATCAAAGGGTATGCACAGTTTTATACCCCTTTGGTCATAGTTAAAAATTGCTCTCCAGAATGGGTGGATCGGTTCACAACTCCACCAACAATGCATAAGTACTCCAATTTTCTCACATCTTCTCCAACATTTGTCATTTTCTTTTTTTGTCATTATTAGCCAATCAGACAGGTATGAGATGTAGATGGCACATACAGGGCAGTAGTGGCCAGAGATGGGTGTTTTGATTTGCAAAGTCTCAAGGATGTTGAGTAGAACAATAGGGCAGTAGATTGAAATGTTCCTTCCAGACCCAACAGTAGAATGGATTTGATTATGGCTTCTAGAGCACTTCCTAAAACTGCAATCATATGATTATCTCAATATGGCAATAACATAACATGCCATAGTGAAAGTGTAAATCTTTAAGTTGAGTACCAAAAGAATATATTAATACCATCTAAAGGAAACATTCTAATACAACAAAAATGGGGCAAACAATGATCATTTCCTGGGTGATCTCTCACTCTCTCTCTCTCTCTCTCAGCAAGAAGCATTGCACCTTTAATGCAAAAATACCACAAATGCTTCCTCCTAAGAAATGTATCATACACAGTCCTCTGACACATAGGGTGATGGCTTCTTGCATGTCATAAAGTCTTGGAGGATTCTAGTAATTACAGAATGTCAGAACTGGAAAGGAACCATCTAGTCCTACTTATCTATGCCCCCTCTGAAGCATCTCCAATGTCTGCTTAAAGGCTTTCATAATGGACGAACCCATACCCCTGTACTTTCTGAGGCAGTGAGGATGTGATTTCATCAGGGTAGGCAACTCCCTGGTGGAAAGTTTCCCTACTGATGCAGGTAAGCATCTTCTCAGTAATTCATAACCCTAGAGAACCATGGGCGACCATCAGAGACTAAGTGACTCACCCAGGGTAACACAATTTCTATGTACCAAAAGCAAGTCTTGAACCTAGATCTCTCTGCCTCCTAGGCTGGCTTTCTGTCCTCTACACTCTCTTGTTTTTCACCAGTCCATCTTAACTCTGTTACCCTATGCCACTAAGAGTTGGAATTTTCCCCTCATTTCAAGCCTCAGTTTGCCTCTTTTTAACTTCTATCCATTGGTTCTAATTCTGCAATCATATGATTATCTCAATATGGCAATAACATAACATGCCATAGTAAAAGTGTAAATCTTTAAGTTGAGTACCAAAAGAATGTATTAATACCATCTAAAGGAAACATTCTAATACAACAAAAATGGGGCAAACAATGATCATTTCCTGGATGATCTAGGGCCAAACAGAACAGGGCTAATCCCCTGATATGGGTCCCCACTAGGCGAGGTGGGTCAACATATAAATATGGAATTCTAAATTTAAAATATTATTCTGGTTTAAAAAATAAATCTAGTAGCAAAGAAATGAAAAAAAATTAATAAAGCACTTATTATATGCCAAGCACTAGGGATACAATTCTAAAAGTAAAACAGGCCCTACCCTCAAGAGCTTACATTTTCACTGTGGGAGATGGCATATAGAGATATAAATATTTCTGTACACATAGGTCCTTTCCCCTTTTTTATGATCTCTTTGGGATATAGACCTAGTAGTGGTATTGCTGGATCAAATGCCTCATGCTTTGTGCAAAACATGACTCTGTGGGTCCCTAGCTGCCCTCCATGATATCACTGAAACAAAGTGCCTTCCCCTCCTTGGTAGCACAAAAATATTTTTCTTACAAATATATGTCACTTTAAGAAACAGACTGAAGCCTTAAAATGAGTTTCATTACTTATAAAAGAAAACCATGTTTTAAATTCACTAATGAAATAAGTGTCAGTGTGATAAGACAGGTTCAGGAAAACATTGGTTCAAGCCCTGTATATAGTCATGCAACCAGGGACAAGTCATTTAACATTACCTGTGTCCAAGGTTACAAAGAATAGCTGATCAGCATCAGTGGAAGTAATTTCCATATTAGGAGTTCCCTACAGTGATAAGGATTTATCAGGCCAAAAAAAACAAAAAAGGGAAACTTGATCTTTAAATAATCTAAAAAGTGTCCTTTTACAGTGTAAGAAACTGATTTATCTGGTTAGAAATCTCAGTTTTCTATCAATCTATTTATCCAGATACCTAGGGACAGCTCAGAAGCAAAGTGTATACAGCACTGGACCTGGAGTCAGGAAGACTCATAATTAATCTCATACACTTACTAGCTGTGTTACCCTAGGACAGTCACTTCACCTCTGTTTGCCTCAGTTATCTCTTCTGTACAATGGGGATAATAAGAGCACTCGCCTCCCAGGGATGTTGTGGGGATCAAATGAGATAATATGTGCAAAGTGCTTTAGCAGACTGCCTGGCACATAGAAAGCACTAAATGAATGTTAGCTATTATTATTATTATTATTATTATTATTATTATTATTATCATTATCATCATCATCATCAAGTTTTCTTAAAGTACAAAACTAGACCCTAACCATTATTTTTGCTGTCTTGTTGGAGACTTGTATAGGAAACTTCCAGCAGTTAAAGCCTTATCACCTCTACCTCAGCAACTGTTCTGTAACTTATACCAACATCTGGTCCCAACATCTGGACCTCGAAGAGACCTCAGAGGTCAACTAGTCCTACCTCCTCATTTTACAGATGAGGAAACTGAGGTCCAGAGAAATGAAGTGACATTTCAAGTGACACAACAAGTATCTGGGGCACCATTTGAACCCAGGACTTCCTGACTGCAAGGTTGGCTTTTCCTATAACACATTCCCTACAGCACATGGCTGCCCAGTATGTTATACACTCTATCTGGACTACATGAAACCAAAGGTCCCTTCCAGCTCTAAATCTAGAATCCTCTGAACATTTATGAAAATAGTATAGAGATTAAGGAACTCAGTTATTTCTATCGAAAAAATTGAAAACTTCATTTTACAAAAAAAAATTAACTCAGATTAATAACCTCGTTCCCAATATATTATCCAAGAGGTTCTAAAAGGAAAAAAAAAACCTGCATTCCTATTGTGTTACAGATTAATATTTGCTCTCAGAACTGTTTCCAAAAGAAAAAAAAAAAGGAAGAAGCAGAAGAAAAAAAGAGGATTTTACCAGACATAAACTGTGTAATAGAGGATAATTCCATTTGGCTCCAGGGGTGGTTGCCATGACAACTTCACCGTGACACCAGACAACTGTTTTACTGAGAAGTCTCGTGGAGGAGAACCAGGAGCTGAAAAGAGGGAGTGAGGGATACAATGTGCAATTAAGCATCATATCTGGAAGATGAGGTTAAAATGGAAACCTTTGGTTTGTTTTCCCACTCTAGTACTGTGTTAAGTGAACATTCCATATCAGCGCAGTCCAAGGGCATGGTAGACAGACTTGTTTACTTTTAAAATAAGATGATAAAGTAAGATTTTGCATGGTGGTGTTAAAACATCTGTTTCTGTGATTCAATGGAAAAAAAAATATTTCATGAGAAAAGAGAGTTATGGGCTTGTCACAGTGATTCACCCACTGCTCAAGAACATTTTGCTAACTTTTTGGACTTCCAATAAACGCAGAAATCTTTAGTGGTGTGAATAAATACACAATACAATGAGATGTTTCTCTAGCCTCGTAAAATCTGTACAAAATTATGTCTAAGAAGTGGTAATCCTACCTCCATCACTAAATCTATTGGCCTTTTCAAATAGGAAATGCGTTGTTATTTTGGCCATTTGTCATTAAGATTACAAAACAACATGAAAACCTCTTTATTAACCACCAACTTCCATGGATTTCAGAGGTCACATATTACCATGAAATAATCAAATAAAACGTAGCAAAGAGCTGATAGCCAACTTTTATTTTCCTTCAGATAACTAACAAAGACCTGGGTCATTTAAGTGATTTTCTGCATTATATATTTTTTAAAAATATGGTAACACACAGGTTGTTACACTGTTATTTCTTGATGAAATAAAATATGCCAAAACAACATGTAAATTAACATAGCTAAGTACTGATAGCCAATAATGACCACTGAAAGCTCAAAAGGACATTTTTCTTAACAGTTATAATGATGCTGACCTAGTATTAAAATATCACTCTGACTTTTTCAAATTTGAAGATTAAAAAAAGACTCAAGTTTTAACTTCAGGTTGTACTGACAATCAGACATGGAAATGAATAATAGAAGCACAGCTTCTAGAAAATCTACAGAGCATTTGTTCTGATCTCTGAACAGGCTAGTTGACTGACTTAGAGATAAGACCCCTCTACACAGTATTCCTGCCAGTTAGATGAAACTGTTACCTGATTTATTTCCTATTTATTTTTAGTTTTATTGCATTTTGTTTCTCTGAACATTCTCAGATATGTATGTTTCCATCATGTTAGTACTGACAGATTTTTCTGAACAGGGATTTATTGAATTCAGAATACTAACCAAAGAAAAAATGGTGACAGCTGTATTTAGTACTTTCAATTTGTTATTCTCAGTGGCAGGCGCTACAATAAAACTGCTATCAAATATTGAATGTCACAAGAATCCATACATCACTCAGAGATATCAGGTTTCTAAGATATTAATTGCTTTCAACTGAGAATTCTGTTTATGTCAATACAGTAGGATATGAATATTTAGTTCCACTGAAACGTGCGAGAAATAAATGAAGTCATGCTCATCAATGAAACCAAAGGATTTTTCATAAAATCTAATGTTTAGTTTATTGTGTTTATAGCATTTTACAATATATGTTGTTACTTATCTTGGATAATAAAAATTGTTTATTTAAAATATCATTACAGACAATTAGAACAGTGATAAAGTTGGGAGTCAAGACATGAATTCAGACACTGCGTCAGACACTACCAGAGTGACTCTGGATAAGTCACTTAACCACCCAGTCTCAGTTTCTTCAATAGGATATGAATATTTAGTTCTACTGAAACTAAAAAGAGGAAGATGAGAAAATATCAGCAAAATTAGTCAACATGCTGAAAAAGTCTGAAAATATATGCAATGTTTTGCATCCTTGAACTTCGCACTGGTGAAATGGGGCAGCCTTCTCATATTTCTCCTTAACAGCAAGCTTAATCTTGGGAACTCTGTAACATTTACTTGTGGTTGTTTGGGGGTGGTTGTTCTCTCCATTTATACCGTTATCATCACTATGTAGATCGTTTTCTTGGCTCTGCTTACTTTTCTCTGAATTAGATCATGTAAGTCTTTCCATGCTTTTCTATAGTCATCGTATTTATTATTTCTTAGAGCAGAGTAATATTTCATTGGATTCATCTAACACAGTCGGTTTAGCCATTCCCCAATAAATGGGCATCTATAAATATCTTGTGCTACTGTAAATATTTTGATATACATGGGGATTTTCCTCTTAAATGACCTCCTGACACTATATGTATAGTAATGGATAGGTCAAAGGAGGTCAAAAGGTATGGACATTTTGTTCACTTCATTTGTATGATTCCAAATTGTTTTCCAAAATAGTTTTATTAATTCAGAACACAAGTAGGTCTTTAATAAGTCATTCACTCACTCTCTCATTCAATTATAAGTAAGAACACTGAGTTCTAGGGAGTTAAATGATACACAGAAGTTCACATTGTCAGTTAATAGCAAGTGGTATTTTTATAGTTCTTAAGGTTTGCAAAACACACTCTTTACATTATCTTGTTCAACTGTCACAACAACTATATAAAGCAAAAGTAGCTAAGTAAACTAAGACCCAGAGGGACTACCCTAGGGACACATAGTAAGTGTCTGAAACAATGTTTGAACCCAGGTCTCCCTGACTCCAGCTTTCTCTCTCCTATGTCATGCTAGCCCTCAGCTTATGGCACAGACAGATTTAGAACCGGAGAAATAGAACTAGAAGATCTAGAATTAGCTCCCAATTCAGTGGGCTCCATTCTTGTATCTTCTGTTTGAATATCTTATAGTAATACCCAATGAACAAATTTAAAGTCTGAGTTTTCAGCATGGGTTTAAAATAGCTACTTGATGGCTATATAAATGGAATCTGAGAGTATGGTAGGAGAAATATCTGGCAGTGTCCCCTTCTGTGTGAATAGAGGTAGATTCTTTTCTTTCTTTAAAAGGGATTTTAAAATGGTCCTCTAGAATTGATTGGCTCAGGGCATTAAGGCTCTGATCTGGCTTCCTAGTCACCTGAGTATAAAAAAGACACGGGGATCTCCTAAGTTTTGACTGCCTAAGATGTGACTGGCAGAGCACCAGGGAAAGAAGCGATTTAGAGGCCAGGAAGTTGTACTCAACTGTATCAATGCCGTAACCCCAGATGAACATCTTTTCCGAGCAATGACCAAGTCAAGCTCCTTCTGTTAACTGTTCTATGAACTATGAAAGTCTCACCTGAAGCTCCCCCCCCCTTAGATAGGTCTTGTTCAGTTATTTTCAGTCATGCATGTCTGACTCTTCCTGATCCCATCTGGGATTTTCTTGGCAAAGATACTGGAGTGGTTTGTCATTTCCTTCTCCAGCTCATTTTAAAATGATGAAAGGGAAGCAAACAGAGTTAAGTGACTTGCCCAGAGTCACATAGCTACTAAGTATCTGAGGTCTGATTTGAGCTCAGGAAGATGAGTCTTCCTGACTCCAAGCCCTGCACTCTATACACTGTGCCACCTAGCTGCTCCATACAGACATACATACACGCACATACATACACACATATATGCACAAATATTTATATATATATTAATATATTATACTATGCATTGAGTCCTCCTACATATAAACTTAACTATACATACATATGTATACATATAGGTGAGTATATGCATATGTGTATGCATATGTATATATATACATAAATACATATGCATACATATATTATATGCATACAAATATTCATTGAATCTTCCTACATACAAATCTGAATTTACTCTCCTTTTTTTCACACACTGCTCCTCTGAAATCCTTTGAAAAATCCAGTGTCAGAATAAGACCAATACCTCCCTGTAGGTTGACAATATCATACCACATTAAGAGAAAATTTTTACCATATAGCAAACATGTTCTACTGAGATTGTGATGTACTCACCATCTTCTTCAGTCAGTATAGTTATAGGCATACTTCGGACTCCTTCTCCTTTAAGGGTACTCGCAGACACCTCAACTGTATAATGAGTATATTTCTTCAGTTCTAAATAGGGACAAAGTGGATAATTCATCATGGACCACAGTGATCTGGATCACATAAAGTATAACCATCTTTCATTATTAAAATCAAATAAGCATCAGAAATCTTTAACTACACTACCTCCTACAATGAAAGTAAAGTTGGAGGAAACTCCAAGGAAAAATAGAAGAAACAACAAATGCATCCTGGGGATCCAGGACCAAATCTCCAATGGCTTGCTCTAAATTATATTTGAGAAGTAGCTATGTCACATCCTGACATCTTAGGCAAATAATCCAATGATATGAAGACACATACTGATTGGATGATTCCAGGAAAGTCATTTCTTTCTAGTGTTCTAGGGATCTCTCTACAATGCTAAATTGCAAAGAAGGTGCCATCTTGCATTGACAGAGGGAAATTCCCATATCCATGAAACCATTGGTCCAGTCCCTTTCCCTATCTTCCTATTTGTTAAACTTTGATATATACATGATCCCATAGAACTTTGCTATTCAATATAAATATTAATAGTGCTGAATCTTTATAAAACTTTCAATTTTCTTTGACTGATAGTATTAAATGAAAATCATGTTAAATACTCACTGGAAAGCTCCCAATTTAAAAAAAAATTCTACACTATCAGCTGCAGACCTTCAGTTTCTTTTGTACTCACCTCTAATGTTCTGTGACAGCTTTGTTGTGTTTATGGTTCTTTCCTCATTTTCATTATTCCTTTTGAGATAAATGGTATATTTCTGTATGATCCCATTGGGAATTATTGGAGGGAGGAATGAGAGCTCAATTTCTCCAGAAGAAACATTCCGATAGGTGATATTTTCAGGTGCACTGTCAGGAACTAACAGCAAGAAAAATAAAATGTAAAAAAAACATGCAATTTGCAGACTTTTTTGTGAATTTACATTTTTAGCAATACAGCTTGCTGCTGCACAATAAAGGCTGAGGACAGACCTCTTTGGTTAAATTGCATAGGATCAAATGAGATGATATTTGTAAGGCACTTAGCACAGTGTTTAATATGTAGTTGGCACTTAGTAAATGCTTGTTTCCCTCCCCCTTCCCTAGTAAGAAAAAATTATCTTCTATATTCCAGCCTCCTTATTTTTTTGCTTCTCCTCCCTTAGAGGCATCTCTTAGTAGCTCTTCTTAATGGATATATCCCTTGAAGATCCAATGCCTTCCTGCTTTCTACCTATTTCAAACGAGTCTCTTAGTAACAGAGTTGAATCTAATTTAAGTTAAGTTGTAATTGAATAATGGCATTTTAACTATTCCTACTAGAGAGAGTATTAGCTATGATTAGAACTAGACATACTTTCTCCTGGTCCCATGCATTTGAATAGTCCATCCCCCCATGCCTAGTATGCATTGCCTTCTTATTCTAGCATTAGAAATCCACGATAACACGGCTCTAGCTTACCTTTCCAGATACACATTATTCTCTCTCACCCACTCTACAGCCCATCCGGTAGAGCCTTCCTGCTTTTATTCACACATGAGATTCCATCTCCCACCTCCATGACTTTGTATAGGTACATGCCCAGAACATACTCTTTCCTCAATTCAATTTCTTGGAATCCTGGTACAACTGGAAATAGTACTAGCTCTGATTGTTAATATCTTCATGACCTTGAATAAGTCACAATCTCCCTAGGACTCCATTTCCTTATCTGAAAAATTGAAGTGTTTAGACTAAACAGCTTGTGATGTCTCTTCCAGGTGTAGGTTTATGAGCTCATGAGGTCTCTCCTGATTGCCCCCTCCATCTCATGACCTTGTTTCTATTTTGTTTTCACTTGCTTGTGTACATGTTGTTTTCCTTGCTAGATTGTAAGCTCCTTGAGGGTAAGGGACAGTTCATTTGATTTCTTTGTATCTTCAGGACCTAAGTAGGCATTTAAGAAATGTTTGTTGATTGATTGATAGCTTTGCCTCTTAAATTTTTCACTCTACTTTTATGCTCAGATCAGATACCACTTCTTTTATGAATTGATTCCCTTAGTTGATACTATACTTTAGATATCCATAGAGCACTTTATCTGAATCCCTCTCTCCTTTGCCCCCTTCATTCCATATTTTTATTGATTCCCTTGGTTGATACTATACTTTAGATATCCATAGAGTACTTTATCTGAATCCCTCTCTCCTTTGCCCCCTTCATTCCATACTTTGTATACTTTCTTGTGCACGTACTATGTTTTCCCCTCCCACTCCTAATAGAATAGAGACTCTTTGAGGACTAGTGCTCTTTTGTTTCTATATTCCCAAGCACAGTGAATGTTGTGCATTCAGTAGGCACTTCACAAATGCTTGTTGAATTAAATGTAATTATCCCAGGGAAACTTGCATTTTAAAAGAATCAGAATACACTCAAGGTAGATTTTCAGGCATTTTCAAAGAGGCAGGAGGGGCAGTTTAGCAGGCCACAGAATCCCCAAAAACCTCTGAAATTTCTCCATGGAAATCACTTGTTCAATGTGTACTGATGTCTCTACAGGGCAGTTATAGGCCCCTAAAATATGAGATGGAACAGGGGAGGTGCTTCATCAGTCCTACTCTCTTGCTAATGCTCTATCCCTTCAGTGTTCAAGGAAAGAAGAGCAATAAAGATGCAAAAAAATGTTAACAATCCCTCAAACTAAATTCCTTAACCAAGAATAACAATGATTGACATTTACATAAGGCAATCAATCAAGTAGCTTCGGCCTGAAGCTTGATAAACTACCTTATCTAATGAATAAAAATTAAAGATGCTGGTGATTCTGTTGAAAGTTTCATTCTGAGTTTAAGAATAAGAAACCTGCAGATTTGGAGAAAATGAGGATGAAAGAGGGCAATGAGAAGAAAAGGGAACAGTGAGAAGAAGCAGGGGAGGAGAGGGGAGCAAAAATAAGGTAGCTGAAAAATTGGAGAATTGGATTATAGGATCATTGATTAAGAGCTAGAAGGGGCATTGGAAGTCAATTAGGTCAACGCCCTTATTTCATAGCTGAGGAGACAGAGGCCTAGGAAATCCTGATTAAATGAGCACGGTTATCCAATATTTCCCCTACACAGCCTTTTGTTGTCTTTCTCCTGAGGTGAATTTAAGTCAGATTATTTTTATGAAATAAGGTACAGAGAAGATGCCAACCTGCATTGGTAGAAGGAATTTCCTTACCTAAGAATTCTCTACACTAATGAAATCACAGGTCCATTCCCTATCTCTATCTCTGTCCATTTTTCTATGAAACACCATGTTGGTCCACTGTGACTTAGTAAACATGAGAGGTTGAGTCAAATAGAACAGTATTTTCCAATTCAAAGAAGTCAATGCCACAGGCCAGATTCCAAAACAAAACAAAACAAAACAAAACAAAAAAAAAAAACAAAAGTAACTGTAAAGGTCGGAAGGTCATGGAAATGTCTTGGTATTCATGTAGGAGAGGATCATCATATGAAATGCATTCTCTTCTAAATTAACTTAGACCCAAGCTTTATGTAATATTTTAAATAAGATGGGACTGTCACCACTACAGACTGATTCAATGGAAAGAATGCTGTATTTGGAGTTGCAGTATTTGAATCTGAATCCTGTTTTAACCAATTACTACCTGTCTATGTGGCAAGTTCCTTCCCGTCTTGTGGCTTCAAGTGCCCCATCTGTAAAATTAGGGATCTCTTCTAGCTTCAAATCTATGAACTGTTATACATTTATTACCCTCTACTACCAAGAAAAGAAACTGAGACTAAAGTTTGACCTGGCATCTGTGTGTTCCTGGTATGATAAGACTTATATAGGTAAAGATACACTAATGTAGTAAGTTGTCCCTCTCATCATTCTGTGCTCTTTTTCAGAACTTCACAGACGTTCCCGAGAACCTAGAAATGAGACAATCATTCTCTCATTGACCTTTTTAAAAAAAATTTGGTACAGAGATGTATATATGACTAAACTTAACAGCTCATTAATGAGAGCCATGATGAGAATATTCAGTACTTGGTAGAGTACATATAACTGAATTATTAACTCTCTATTAACTGAATTTACAAAAGACAACTTTTTGGTAGGGAATGGTAAAGATGGGGAATTGGATGGAATATTTAGCTCATTTGCTTTTTAAATTAAGACCAGGAAACATAAAATGTTTGTTCAACAAAACATTAAAATAAGCTACATTTCAGTTTTATATTGTGATCAAGTAAGAGAGGAAAAGAGACAAGAGAATAAAAGTATCTTTATAACAAAAGAAATTTTTTTTAAAATAAAGGAAAGGGAGAAAGGAGAAGAATGAGAAGAAGGAGAGGGGAGCTGAAATGTGGATATAAGAGAGAGGGGGAAAGAATGGAGAAAGAAAAAGAGAAAGAAAATGGAGAATGTGAGGGGGAAGGACAGAGAGAGAAAGAAGAGAGAATGGAAAGAAAGAGGGAAGAAGGGAGGGAGGAGGAAGGTAGGGCAGAGTGATATAGGAGAGAGAGAAAGAGAAAAAGTGGGAGAGACTGACAGAGACAGAGAGAGGTAGGGAGAGGGGAAGTGAGAGAGGAGAGAGAGACAGAGACAGACAGAGACAGAGAGACAGAAAGAGATACAGAGAGAATCAGGAGAGAGAGATTAGAAAGAGAAAGGGAGGTAAATAGGTATGAGGGTAGCTAAGAAAGAGAGATACTAGAAGGAGGAAGGGAAAGGGGAAAGAGGCAGAGACAGAAAGAGGTAGGGAGAGAAGTAGGGGAAACAAAGACAAGAGACAGAACAGAGAGAGAGTGAGAGAGAGAGAAAGAGAATGGAAAGAGGGAGGAAAGAAGGGAGGCTGGGAGGATGAAGGGTGAGATCAAGAAAGCCACATAGGAAGAAAAAAAGAGAGAGAAAGCTTATGCTCAGTAGCCTGTAAGGTAATTGTGTTAGGGGTAAACTATCCTTATCATTTCCTGCTGTTCATTTAGCCTATGAACATCAAAGTTAAAATCTCTTATCATTACGTTTTGTAATTCTGAGTCTTTCTCCAACAGCTTAGAATTGCAAGTTCTACATTTGGAAAGAGTGAGTCTGGTTTTAATTTGAAACTTCAAAGTTTACTTTTTAGATGAAGTTTATTTCCCCATGGAATTCTGAAGGTCTTGTATGTGAGTGAAGGAATTACATACTTAAGTTTTATACATTTACTTTGTAACACTATTGGTGGTGTGTGAGAGTTCCTTTGACATTAAAAACCTGTCAGATCTTTGTGGTTGTGGGAAACTGGGGGCTGATTCCATTGCCTGAGGGTTACATTTGAAGCTACGATTTATTTCATTTTCCCAAGTATATGTATGTGTGTGGAGGGTGTAGGAGTGGGGGTATAATTATTTATTTGATCCTAAGTTTGGAGTTTTGAATGAGCCTGTGGCAAAGGGTGAGGAGACCTGACAGTGGATGAAGACAGTGCAGTTGGCAGCATCAGTGGCGTGGCAGAGGGCAGACATTTTATGATGTGGATTCTTTAACAAGCTTCTAGGTGTTGCAAGCTTGGTTCCAGTGGCCAAGTGTTCCCTTAGGAGGGAAGGGGGTAGCTAGAATGGATGGAAGTTGCTGGCAGTAGTTGCTTTTTTGTGATCAATGCAAGGACAGTGAAGATTAACCTTTTTCCTGTTTCTTGTCAGCAACAGGTATTTTCTACATTATTTTCTCTACTTCTTTAAGCGTTTTCTATTTTCTATTTCTATATCCTGATTTTGTCTAATACAAAAATATGATAATAGTGGTGCATATTTGTAGGCTAATTGTATGTAAAATGGGAAAGGCAGTAGAAGATGTCAGTGAATACCTATGAATACAGAATTAAAACCAGAAGAAAGGTCAGCACATTAGCTTAAAACACACAGGATTCCATACTGGCTTGGGGGCTCTGAGCTATGTTCATGAGAAACATTTATAGTTTTGATTTTATTAATAATTTTCATGAGATTTTAAGTAGCAAAGACAGACAATCCATAGGAATCAGGAACATCAGAACTCCTGGGCTAGTAGAGTCAGAAATATATTTAGATTTGGGTGGTTTAAAAACGCTGATGCCTCAGAAAAGCTCCAGCTCCTGAACTGAGAGAAGGAAGTTAAGGCATAGTTTGGTATGTATCAGGCGAAGGTTGTGTCTCCTGGAATGAGAAGGTGGTAGTCTGGAAGGAATCTGCCCCATCCACATTTCTACAGTGGAAGCAATCTAGCCAAGTGAGCAAACATCCCTTAATCTTTCTTTCTCTTTCCAAACAAAATACACCTAACCCTGGACAGACAATGACTGGGGTGGGTCACACAACATAGAGGCCAGTTTGTGAATAGGCACTGAAGCAAGAGAAGAACTATGACTGGTAGTCAATAAAAGCTGAAGGATTTCTGTTTAAATGCCCATCTCTTCTCTAGGGTGCCAAGAAGCACATTTAATGGCCCTAGACTTGGTTTCCCTTCCCTGGATGTTCACATATCCTCTCTCACCTGGGCTCTGGTCACCAACTACATTCCAGGTAAATATTAGAATAACAAATTTAAAACTTGAAAGAAGTTTAGTGTTATCTAGTATGACTCCACTCCTCTCCATTTTATACATGAGGAAGTTGAGTCATCCCAGAGAGATTATATAAATTGCCCAAAGTCACATAGCCAGTAAGTGTCAGAGGTAGGAACTGAATTCAGGTCATGTGACTCCAAATTTTATGTTCATTGCACTGTATTAGGCTAAGGTAATAGGCTGAAACAGATCACAATGCAATCAGTTCAATAATAATCAAAGCTAACATTTGTTTGGCACTTTCAGGTTTACATAGTACTTTACATATGTCATCCCATATATTATCTCCATTTGACAGACGAGGAAACTGAGAGTGAGGGTTAAATGACTTTCCCAGGAATCATAAGCTAGTAAGTATAGCCTGAGGCAGGCTTCAAACTCAGCTCTTCCTAATTGCTACTCTATCTGTTTTGTCTTCTAGTTGTTCATTTCCTCAAAAGGAAGCAAAGTGAAGAAAAAGCCCCCATTCATAATAACTCTAGGCCACAAACCCTAGAGAGGAATGAGCACATGCCAACATGTCAATAAAGTACTTTCTCACTGGCTGTCGTACCCATCCAGCTAACCAACCAACAAGAGAGTTGTTTGTAATGTTTGATATATGAATGTCCCATCAAATCTGGGACCTTTTAATTTGCCAATTCTCTTCACCCTTAGCTGAAACATTCCTAACATCCTCTCCTAATATCTCCACAAACATCCAGTGCCTACCACAAGAGACATTGGGATTCAGGGACAAAGATAGAATTAGACTTAAAATTAAGAAAACCTGTCTTGATTCTAGCCCATACTAGCTGGGGGAGTCCATTGACTTTATTTAACCTCTTCACCACCTCACTTCCTCATCTTTAAAAAAGGGGATAATGAGATTTGTCCTGCTTGCCTCACAAGTTTGCTTAGAGGAAGGAGCTTTGTAAACCAAGCACTACATAAATGTGAACCATTAGGATTACCACAGTGCTTTCTTAGGCATAATAGTATCCGAAAAAAAAATAATGATATGGTTGGTTGATCCGAATCAATGCAGTCTGTGAGTTTCATTCTGTGGATCTCCTCAGAGAAATAGTTTTATTATGTTTTGTAAATGTGTGTGTGTGTGTATATATATATGACATATATATGACAAACAGAGACAGAGACACAAAGAGAATACTATACCTGAAGACTTAAATAGATACTCAAGTAAAATAAAGTAAATCATTTTCCCCAAAGCCCTACATTAAATAAGACTAAATTTGCATTTAAAATTTAAATATTTGAAAAGTTTTTGTCATATAATTTAAAAATATTATCATGGGAGGAGATCTGGAAAAGACTTCAGAGGCCAACAAGCTCATTCCCCTTATTATACTGGTAAGAAGACTGAGACCCAGAAGGTTAAGTGACTTGCCAAGGGTCACATACTTCATAAGTGTCTGAGATGACATTTGAAACCAAGTCTTCCTGACCTGAAACCCATTGCTCTATTCACTTACCAGTATGCTTCTCCTTATTTTAACAAAAGAATGAGCTGTGTGGGGATGCCATTAACTATAGGATAAAATATAAACTCCTTAGTTGGACATTTAAAGCCCTCCATAATTATCACTCCAACCTATCTTTCCAGCCTCATTTCAAACATTTTCATTAGTCCCATGTTCCATTCAAATTAGACTGCTCCCTGAGCTTGACGTTATATCTGCTACATTTAAACACCCTCTTCATCTCCACCTCTCAGACGCCCTGTCTTCCTTCTTGGCTCAGTTTAGGAACCATCCCTTCTAAGGAAAAAAAAAAAAAAAAAACAAACTTCCCTGATCTTCTTATTGGGACATATTCTATCCTTCCTCAAAATCCCCTGTATCATCCTTTACTACATGCATACTGTATCACTTCAGAAGAATGTAAGCTCCATAAAGGTAGGGACATTTCATTTTTATAGCTATATTCCCAGAATCAAGCACAGCAAAGTTGTCCATAGAAAGTATTTAATAAAAGATTGTTGGATTGAACTCTTAAACCCTGGGCTCGAAAGTGATCTTTTCAAGTAAGGATTTTCCGTCATCATTTTGTACAATATTCACTGATTCATTTAGCTAATGTGTATTGATCATCTCTTACATTTAGGACATTTGGCCAAGAGTTGTGAGAGATAAAAAGATGAAGATAAGAGGATCTTAGCCCTCAGTCAACTTAGAGCTCATAATGGGAGGGTTTTTTGTTTTGCTTTGTTTTGTTTTTCTGGATAAGACCTGTCATTGTATTGGCATAGAACTCCCAGTGAGGAAACTCTCTCTATTAATGCAGATTCAGAACTGTTCTGCAGTCTTAGTTGCCTGAAGGACTGAGAAGTTAAATGACTTGTCCAGACTCCCAGAATTAGCATGAATCAGAAGCAGAACTTAAACCCAGCTTGTCCTGTCTGGGAGGCCAGCTGTCTATCCATCACTTCATCTGCCTCTTCTGGGAGTTTAGACACATAAAAATTACTATAACATAGGGCAAAATGGAAAGTATAATTAAGAGAGAAAAAGACAATGTGTTTAACCCAGATAAATTTTGCCACAATGAAGTACTGTCACTGCGAATGTCTCCTGTGCCTTTCTTGTCTCATTGGGCAGCCAACCTAACGGCTGTAATACTAACTGAGGATGTGACGTAGTGGATGGATGGTCAGAGTCAGGAAGACTTGAATTCTAATCCTACCTGTGACATCTCTGGTTGTGCTGTTATTGCAACTTATTGGCTGGTTGGCAGCCCTTTGAGTCTATAAGTTGCAGAGAAGGTGCCCACCTGCACTGGTAGAGGGAATTTCCTCAGCTGGAAATTCCCTATAGCAATGAAATCACAGGCTCAGTCTTATCTCTATCCTACTATTTGAATTATAACAAATTATGAATACTGGGGATCTTTAATGCCATGGTAACATCAATGCTTTAGCAGGCCTTTGATGATATATGTATGTGTGGATAGATAGATGGATAGGCAGATAGATACACAAATATATGTATATATACAAGTATATACATAGACACATATATAAAAGCATATTATGTATGTATGATGTATATACACAGTATATGTATACATATGTGCATATATACACAAACACAGCTATACATGTATGTATATAATATATTGTAGATACGCATACACACATATGTGTATGTACATGTATGTGTATACATATGTGTATATATACGTGTATAAGTATGTGCACACACGCGCATATATTACTGTGCATGTATGTGTATATATGTGTGTATTTGTGTGTATATAGATGTATGCAAATAGCACATATATACACCGCATATACAACACATATATAAGCATATCACACACATGTATATTTGTCTGCACAAGT